TGGAAAATGTTTGCCCCTTTTTGATATTTAAGAAATATGGACGTGTGAAACCGTACAGGGGCTTTGGACAAGGGCCTGCAGGGACAGGACAAGTGGGAATGGTTTGAACCTGCCAGAGGGGAGAGTGAGATGAGCTCTGAGGCAGAAGCTCTTCCCCATGAGGGTGCTGAGGCACTGGCACAGGGTGCCCAGAGAAGCTGTAGCTGCCCCATCCCTGGCAGTGTTCAAGGCCAGGTTGGACACAGGGGCTTGGAGCAACGTGCTCTAGTGGAAGGTGTCCCTGCCCATGGCAGGGGTTGGAACTGGAGGAGCTTTAAGGTCCCTTCCAACACAAACCAGTCTGACTATGACAGACAAAATGAAAACGTATGTTTGCTGCAATTGCTACCTACATCATCATTCTTAACAGTTTACTGCAGGTATTACAACCTTCTGGAAAGCAAGAACTTTTTTAAACATACCTTGGTAAGGTGCAGGATACATCTGTCCTACAGGCTGGAGTTGAGAAGCAGATGCAGCAGTTTGTGGGTAAGCAAATGCCATTCCTGGATATGCCTTGCAGAACATGTTAAATAGATTAGAATATGTTTTGATATTTCCCCCTCCCCACACTTAAGCAAATTTTATGGGGTTTTTTAAGCCCCAGGAGCAAGGATGATATATGGAAAGAAAAAAGAACAGAATTAAGTAGCTGGAAGTCAAATGACACAACAGTCTTAGTAAAAGGAAAATAACAGTCACAGTTCTTTCAAGACTTAGGTATGTGTTCAAGTTACTACAGCTCACTAAGTTTTCTTCACTGAATTTTAAGCAAAAACATGTTACTTTACATTTGAGAGAGGCAAATGCTAGCACATGAACAGCTCACTTTGGAGTTAGCCTAACTTGAACACAAGGCTTTTCCTGGGAGGGGCTTATAAAGCGCAACATGGCTTGATTACAACTTCACTGTTCAGTGCTAAGGAGGAGCTAAACAGACTGAAGCACATATTAAATGCTACAGCTATCTCCTACATACCAATTCACATTCTCAGGCAAGGGAAAACGAAAGATTACAATACAGCTTGGGCCAAGGTTCAGGAAGAATTCAGGATATCTGGGTCAAACGTGCAAAACATCCAAAGTGAATACATTCAAATCAGTCAGATTAAAACTTTAATGCAGAGTCTCTATTTCAGTAAACAGAAATGCCTTTTTCTTGTTACTTGCCAAACCTTCCTCATTTTCAACACAAGAAAAGCACAAAGCCAAAACACTGCAAGGCCTCATGAGTTTTGGGTTTGCTGTGGGGTTTGGGGGTTATTTTTGGGGTGGTGGTGGGTGTTACCATCACATAATGGTTTTATTCATTATCAGGTATTTTCTTTTTCTGTTTCAACTCTTTAAGAATAAACAGACTCTATGTGACACAGGCAGCTGGTTTCCAAAAGCTCCAGAAATTAGGTTAAGTGGAAATAACCACAGAAAACAGACAGTAAAAAGCTTGGGTTTAGACTTTATAGAACTGTTTGCACGATAGCTTTGTAGTCAGTCTTTACTCTCTGATGTGGAAAACACGTTGTGTGTTTAAAGCTTCCTTGTTTAGCAAGCAGATTGCAGCACTTCACAGCAGTACCACAAGCCTTTTAAAAGGCTTGTTCTTTCACTTGGATGAAAGACCATAACCCACAAACACTTGGAGTGTGCAACTAAGCTCTCATGGAAAACCAGACCAGGACCAAGAAAAGCTGCAACTGAAATTCTTCTGGTTTCTGCTTTACAAATACTTGGTAGTTTTTATTTTGTTCACTACAAAAATAGACACTAAAGAAGAAAAAAAGAAAAAAGTCTGGTTAATTCTTGGTTCAACTTTAAGAAGCCATCAGCAAGCAGAAAATTCACCCTTTTTGATTAAATTAGAGGCATATGATGTAAACCTGAGAATGTCAAAGAGTCACAGGAAGGAACCTGGGATTCTCATCTTCATGCTTGTCCCCAGCAATGGAGAAGTAAGACTTAGAGAAAGGAGAGGAGCACCGATATTCTCTTTGATTTCATTCTGGTACCTGAAAGCCCTGTGCTCCTCCAGGCAGAGCTGAATGGGGCTGGATTGTTGCAGGAATTAAAGCAGCAGAAGATACTGGAGGTGCAGAACCAGATGCCTGAGGTACTGAAAAGGAAGAAAAATTCAGTATGCCACAAAGTAGCTAGAAATAATTTAACTCACCCAGTGTGAAATGGCCAAAAAAACCTCAAGTAAACAGACAAAAATTTAACACAAGCCTATCTGCAGCCTTGCAAAAATTAAATCCAGTCAAGCAAGTGATGAAAGGTAATCTTTCACAGAGATTCGACTTCTAGCTACATTTAGACAATCTCTTTTCATTCAAATAAAGGCAGCTGTGAAATATACCGACACAAGATGTTACTCACGCTGACTATGAAGACTGCTCAGCTGAGTAGCAGCTGACATTACTAGTTCATCATGGGGAGACAAGTCAAGCCCACTCCAGAGCTGTCAGTCTCTGATGCCCTTCACTCTTATTTCATAGAATTATAGAATGGTTTGGGTTGGAAAGGATGTTAAGATCCTCTAGTTCCAACTTAACTGCCATGAGGAGGGACACCTCGCACTTAACTACATCACCCAAGGCTCTGTCCAACCTGGCCTTGAACACCGCCAGGGATGGAGCATTCACAACTTCCTTGGGCAACCCATTCCAGTGCCTCATCACCCTCACTGTAAAGAACTTCTTCCTTATATCTAATCTAAACTTCCCCTGTTTAAGTTTGAAGTCATTACTCCTTGTCCTGTCACTACAGTCCCTAACAAAGAGTCCCTCCCCAGCATCCTTATAGCCCCCTTCAGATACTGGAAGCTGCTCTGAGGTCTCCACAAAGTCTTCTCTTCCCCAGGCTGAACAGCCCCAACTTTCTTGTCCTTTTCAAACAATTTCTGTTCACTGGGAAAGGATTTGTAACAGTTTCATTTACAAATCATATGTCCTAGAAATCTCAGTGCTGTCCCTGCACACACAGTGACAGAGCAGCCTATGCAGCAATGTGTTCACAGGATCACAGTGAAGACATACTCCAAGCACTTCAGTCTTGTGCTTTAAGAATTAGTCTACTTATACAAGGGATGGGGCAGCCACAGCTTCTCTAGGCACACTGTTCCAGCACCTCAGCACCCTCCCAGGGAAGAGCTTCTGCCTCAGAGCTCATCTCAATCTCCCCCTTGTCCTGTCCCTCCAGGCCCTTGTCCAAAGCCCCTCTCCAGGTTTCCTGGAGCCCCTTTAGGCACTGGAGCTGCTCTAAGGTG